CTTGCATTAAGAAACAACTGACGGAGGTGAGCCGGACCACAGCAGCCGAGTCGACACGACAAAGGCTCACACACGTATGACGAAATTTAGCAATGAAGAAAAAGAGCAACATTAGACAAGGGTAAAATATCATAGCTTTACCTCCAAGAATCACCGCGGTTCCAGACTAACCCCACCGCAAAAGATCAACTTCACACCACGGTGAGAGACACGAGAGCTCAAATGCACGAGACCAGGTGTGTGATGTAGACCTTTACGGGGTGACCTTTTAAGCAAAACACGTGTAAGAAAGGAACCGAAGACCCATGACACCGCGTATATACGTGACTCTATTACGCACGATAAAACGCAGTCAAAGACCAGAACGAACGAGTTGCGATCAAGCAATGGTCAGGTAACAAAACAAGCAACGCATGAGGCAGCAGCCACGGCTAAGCTAAGATAACGTTTACATTTATCTAACGAGTGTGATAAGTTTCTCTCACGCTTAGTCCTTAGTTTCGATACGATTACAAAATCTCGACGAGTAATTTCTCAGTATTCTCAGTTCACGCGTAAACCAGCAAGAATTTTACGATGCTCATGCCATTATTGTAAATCTTAACTTAAAGATCTCTCATTCGAAAGGCGAACGTTTCCTTTCTAATGTACGCTGTGATGATCGTGGAAGATTGGGCCATTAAACTATCGGTATTCTCTAAGTCACTAACCCACGAAAAAATCAGCCTGGCGGTGCGACTTATTAAACCACACCCGCCATGGAGCAGCACTTGTGAATTTTGCGCTGGCGTCCTGTAATATGACCATGTGTACTACGCTTCGATACGTTCGAGCAACTGCCTCCGTTTTCTCCAGCTGTTTATTAGCTTGCGGTTACGTAAAAAAGAATTACCAAGGTATATACATAGACAAGTCCCACCAAGCATACATTAAGAGACACTGAGCAAGGGGCAGCCCTACGCGCGAGCTACGGGCCTTTTCTGACTTTGAATCGTTGTGTCGGTGAAGCTTGGAAGATCAATTAGCTCCATGATCGGCTGATTTAAGTAATAACTAGTTAAATTAAAAACTGATTAATTTCACACCCATTTCTGTTATTTACAAAGATTACTACAGAACGAATGAACAAATTAAATCTTGTTTTCACAATCACAATTAATCCTGTACATCCACTAAATTCAACATCTGCCACGGCATTTCAAGATAGACTATGTTCTA